CTAAATGTTTGTTTATTAAAGAGTACTCATGGTTTCTCCTTTGAATTCATATAAAAATTCTGAGCTCAATGTTATTATTGTGCAGACTTTTTATTCTAAAAATTCAGAAGTAGTGATGCAGAAAGAACTGACAAAGGAAGGTAGAATTCAATTACATCCACCACTCCTTGCTTTAGCTGAATCATCCTTCAATGTAAAATGTGTAGCTATGGCTAAATACTATGCATCTTTGAAAGAAAATTTCACAGAGCATACTTGAAGTGCCAAGCCCTGCTCTGTTTCCAGAATTGAGCAGAACATAGCTCTGCCCCGTCTACACTACAAACAGCTTGCCAAGTAGGCAGAACATCACTACATGCTTAAGCAGGACTTTTCATCCAAGGGTCAAAAAAGGCATCAAACAGTTACGTTTCACAACATTTCTGCAAAGAGAGTATTACTCAGTTCCCTTTTTGAAGGGTAACAGGAAAAGTCATCATGGCTACAGAGAATAAAATCACAGTGCTAAAAATAAAGGATATAAATCCTTTCTAGGTTCCTAGTTCAATACTGTAACCACTGCAGCATGTACATTTAAAAGTCTGATGAACAGCAATCAAAGATTCCCTAGAAGATACAACATGCTTAAAAGACCCTGAGAAGTCCTTAGGTTTGCTGGGACCTTAAAAAGCAGGACCAGTTATCACATGTGGGTAAGTAAAGAGTAGCCTAAAACAGAAGTCTAATTTTTCAAGGATGGTGTGCTTGACTATTTTTCTTCCGCAAGTCTCACTCATCTCAAATCAAGATAGAAGCAGAGAACCTCTCCCAGCTGCTGCTGAGTTCAGAACTAAGTAGAAACCTGGGGATGCTGTATGCCATTTAGAAGGTGTCTTTGTGCTGTCTCTGGCAGGTATGCCACAGGGTACCGATTTCTGGCACATGTAGGAAAGAATTCAGTGTGCAAAATGAAACTGAGAACACTTCTTTATATATCAGACACAGACAAAATGGAACTGACTGCAGGAGTTCATAAACAGTAAAGACCTATCTAATGAATACAAGAAATGGGCACTGACTGTAGAACTCTGTAAGGTCAGCTGTATGCTAGTCTCTTGTTGGAAAAGAAAAGGGCACTTTGAATCAGAAGAATATTTCCATGATCCAGGGAAGTGCAAAATTTAATGGACTCCAAGTGAACAGCAAAACTCAAGCCTAATACAGCCCACATTATGTAAGGTAAGACCTCTGTTTGAAAACAGGAATATATATAATCCATCCAAGCAAAGACTCAGCCAAGGAGACTGGAGACACATTAGAGCATCCCCCACTGCACAGCAAATAGAAAGTGTGAAGGTCACCACAGAAGGTAAGTGGTCCCGGACGCAGAACTGAAGAGAAACTTGTCTGCACACCCAAGAGCGTCACAAGAATCCTAGTGACATACCAGATGCCAAGGGATTTTTAACTGTGCCCCTCTCTAATTGAGGATTAAGCACACACCAACACCATTATCTGGCCTAAAGATACTGGCTTACAAAATATGGAACAAACAATAGGAACAGATGCTCATTTGGCCAGATTTCAATAAGCCTCATTAAAACCAAACACCCTGTCCTTGGAGCTCAGGTTCATGCTACATTTCTACCTTATTTAAGCACCTAGCACGAATTCCTGAGAAAGCTGTCTACTTGTGGTTGCACACCAGTAGTATAATGAAAAAAATCTTCTCACAGACATTTTTTGTTTCTACAGAGACAAATAGGAGGATTTTTTTTCATATGTGTGTGTGTACATACATACATAAGAACAAAATTAGAGACTGCATTTCCTTTTTAAAGACATTAGGTTAAATACACATCATACCTGTTGAACACTCAAACACAATGGGCAACAAGATGCCAAAAGATTAATGGAAAAACTCCTGAGAATGGAAGATCACTGATATTACAGATCACACAGGTGACATCTGTGCATTGTAATATATAATTTTGAATTCAAGATCCCACCTCTTTAGTCAAAACATGACCACACTTGAAACAATTTCTACTGCTCCTTATTTGCTTCTACCCAAACATGCCCAAGGCTCAATGGAGTTTCAGAGGACAGATACCAGAAAAGCACAGCTAAGAACAAAATACAAAGACTCATAGGAACATGATATTCTAGTTTTATTTTTAAGTGCCTGAATAAAACTAGGTAATTCATAGGTTTGCAAAAGCCACTGAGCACTTGGCTGCAGAGTCTGCATAACACTGTATAGAAGATCGGGCAGACAAGGTTTCCTAACAAACACAGACTTCCTTGAGTGGTCCAAAAGACAGTAGCCATACACTCTCTTCGTACTTGAAAATGCATATATGTTTATAATAAACTTCTTTTCCCTCCATTTTAGAAAGAATGCCAGTTGTTAAGTTGGCAAGTTACATCTGACTGTCCTGTTTCAGAAGCACCCCATCACAAGAGAGCTTGATGGATGAACAGTGCTTCAGTCTGAAAAAAGACATCTCAATATTGATGTGTGTGGCCTCAAGGGAAACTGCATGTCATTCTTTGAACAAACTTTAGAAACATCCAGCACACAAGCAGCAAATGGCATTAATACAACCTTAAGAGAACACAATTTTCTTTTTTGCAAGTAGGTACAGAATCAGAAATTCTGTTTTTGGAAAAAACATTGTTGTAGACTGACTGATGCTTCTGACAAGCATGTGATAATGCTGACTGTGGCTCCCAGTCAGGGCTGATACTGCCCTGCAGAATCAGAAAAGGTAAATCATGATTTGCAAAGTAATCTTTTCCTGTCTTTCAATGCCAATTTAAAAAAAAAAGTTTAACCCCTTTTCCAAAAGTGCTGCAGATAAAGAAACCCACAGTTACGCCTTCCAGTATCCACCTTCTTGACAAAACATTTTAAAGTCCAAGGCTATAGGACACATCAATCATGGAGGATAAAACTCGCCATGTGCATAAGGCTAGGAGAAGGCCTCTGAACTCCTTAAATCTCGTTTAAGCCCTTCACCTAGGGAACATTTAACACTTGTGCCATTTGCCTATGCCATCGCTGAGCCATCTGCATTTAGCTAGCTGAATTTACAAATGCTTCAGCACTTCTGGAATTTGAAAGACAAGCTTTCTTAGAACCTATTTCATCTTGGTTTGTAGCTGGGAAGGCAAAGGAAAGGAGTACAATAGCCAGGCAAGCTTATACTAGGAGAAATATATCCCTAGAAAAGTCCTCACGTTTTTTTCATGTGTGTATATATATATAAAATAGGTATGTATGTGTGTGTATATGTATGCACATATACATGTACATACATGTTTTTGCATATATATGTGATAGCATATTGTCCTACAGCATATAGAGACACAATAGTTCAAAACACATGCTTTTTCATCTCCAAGGTGATGGTTCAAATTCATCCTCAATAACATGAAACAAGTCTTGCTGCTCCTGCCTTGAGCCCTAACCACACCTCTTACCATGATCCCACTGAAACACAGTTTTAGAAGAGTTTATTATTTAAGGCATTAGGATGCTAAAGGTAGATAATTTCAGTTAAGAGAGGCATCATGTGAATTAGCTGTAGGTCTTGCACATCTTTGCTCCTTAGAAGATGATCAGGTAAAACAAGATGCTATAAAGCAGATGGGGTTGAATGGGGTTACTCTACCCAGCTTGCTGGGAGCTGCTTCATGGTATCAGAATAATGCTGTACGTCAATATAATTCAGTCAGAGCTGCTCTGGTGCTTTGCTCGAAGAGTTTCATCTACTTTGTATCATAAAACACCTTAGGAAGCAGTGTGCAGTACTAGTCGTCTTAAGCTAAGAATGGAGGTGTCAGTATTAAATGTTAGCACTTTGTACCAAGATTGGTAGCTTCTCTCAGAAGTGCTCCTCCACTGGAAGGTGACCCAGCACGTCAAGCGCAGTTTGTGAGCGCTAAAGCCACCTGTAAGCATCATGACAAACTTTTATGATGGCCAATTCCCTGACAGGAAACAAAAGTAATGGGACATCCAAATTGCACCAGCAAAATCCCAGCAAAGATTTAGCTGGGAAAGTGTCTTAAAGGTCAATACAAAAGCGAGCCCCAAAGGGACAAGGCACCTTTAACAACCATCCAACGTATGAAAAAAAAAGACTTCAAGAAGATCAAGGAATAAATAACTGAAAGAGAAAACAGGCTTTTGAGTGGTCAGGTTTGTGGTGACAAAGGAGCAACAAAATGCCAGCTGGTTTCGGTAACAGATGGCTGCGTGCACTGATCTGTCCTGCATGCCCATTCTAAACTTCCTTTCAGTGGAAATATGAAGCTTACACAAGGCTAAACGCATCCTTTGCACTGCCCTTTTATACATACTGCATCACGGTTCAGATGTTTTCCACTCATAAACAGCCCTACGTGTGTATTAGTTTACTCCAGTTACGTTGAATTTTAAGAAAAGCGGGTGCCTAATGGCACCTAATCTTTTCCAATCACATCTACTACAATTCTCAAGGAATGATTTTTCTCTGATGGGCTAATATATACATTTTCTTACCGTTCTGACTGCCATATCTTCCTCTTCCCTTTCCCTTAAACACAGCTTTCACTGTACTTTAATTAAAAGGTCTTTCTTTTTGCACCTCCCCTCTCGTAGCTAAGAAAGGGAACCATGATACAAAGAGCTCATATGCAGTATTTTTAGCATGTATCTGAACATTTATCATTTGAAGTTGCCACAGCTAATTACATGGCAGGCATAGGTCATCCCACTGGAAAAGCCCATTACTTGTACAGCAGAATGAACCCTTCAATCCTAGATAGCTCAGGACTCAAGTAATCATTTCCAACTGAGAAAAACAGCAGGTCTGAAAACCCTACACCGAAGGACAGAAAAGCCTACCCAAAATACTTGCTTTCTGTTTAAATATTTTTTTCTAACTGTATTTTTTAACAAGAATTTTTCTTTGATTAACAGTGAACAATCTGCTAGAAAATAAACTCAAACCCAAAGCCGTTCTCTTACTTACTTTGGCCACACAATTTTCAGTCTTCATAGCAGTGCTTCCTAGACATACTGTTTCCTGGTTTAAGCAGAGTCTGGCACAGCTGTTGTAGGTCTGCAGAAAGATTAAAATGCTTATGAATAGAAGAACACGATTTTCTTTCAGGCACCACATTTTTGGCACAGGAATCCACAACTCTACTACATTTCCTTTTTCCTAAGGTGTAAACGTTTCAAACCAAAATAGCTTACAGCACAAGCCTATGCTGAGGGCATGCATGTCGTCTGAGAAGCTATGTACAACTTTATAGTTCTGAGATACAAAGAAAAAAAGATTTTTCTCCTCTTTTCCTTTGAAAAAGGAAAATATCTGATCTCAGTTGTTCAGTCTTTCATAAAATGCTGCATAACTGAACAACTAAAGCAAGGTGATTTCTACATGCTAGTTATCACAGTTTATGTCAGATATTAATAAACATCCCCGGTCTTTATCAGGTAAAAATATATGGGGACAGTACAAAGGTTATAATCAGAAGGGAGCAAATGCAGACCACATCTCACTTGTTGTATTTAGTCTTCCCAATTTTGGAAAGCTTTTTCTTTTAAAGTGGAATGTCTTTTTTTCTTTAACTCATACACTGGTCTGCCCAGGGGACCCTCAGCTGGGGCTGCAGACTCTGGAGTTTTTGCAGAACACATTTACTCATAGCCTCTCCCTTTTTTAAGGGCAGCATACAAACAGTACTTATGAAGTGTGCTTAAAATTATACTTTGGTTGATTTAGCTATTTAAACTAAGATGCTTGAAGAACTCAGGAGTTTCTAATGGAGGCTTCCCCCCGCAACTTTCAACACCTTTTTAATTACTACTTGATTAAGCTCACATTTTCTAGCAGTAGGAGAATAGTAGCACCTAAGAGCTCCAGTATTGGATTAAAACCCCAGCCCTGTTGCCATTTACAGAAAACTGCTCCCAAGCAAAAGTGACAGCCCAAAAGCAAGCACAAACTTGCCTTCTTGCAAGAGTAGTAAGTGGACCACAGAGAAGATGTTGCTACCTCAAATAGTTACGTGGGGAAAACCCAAGAAGCATGTTGAAAGAGAATGAAATTAAACTTGCTACAAAGACACTTCCAAGAGCACTAAGTAAAACATACTAACATTCATGATATTTTTAAGATTGCCTTAAGGGGAGGACGTGCAAAGATTTGTAGTGAACTGCCTGTCAGTTCTCTCCCTGTAATATTTGTTGGCAATCTCTGAAGATCCTTCTTTCAGGGCTTGCTATGGGTTTCTATTTGTTTGATTTGAAACTAATTCAACCCCAAACCTGAAATAGGTTACAGAATCTGTGGACAACGCTGGCATTCTAAGGGCTCCTAAACCTCTCCCTCTGTTCCAAAGCCACATCATCAGAGCTAGATTCCCTCAGCACCAAGCACCAACAAATGATCTCCCCTTTCTGCCCCTTTGCCCCAGGCCTGGCTCTGCGCAAGGTGAAGGCAGCAGCAACACACAAACCTGCAGAGGAACACATCGCAAAGGACGCCAGAGGCAAGACTGCAGCGATTAAAAGGGGGGTTATGCTGAGCAATAGGAGACACGTCCACAGTCCCAGCATTCCCAATAGTTTCCAGCTCAAGAGGACTGTTAAGCACCAACTGGTGGGAACTGAGTGTTCACAATCGGTTTATAACATTATTCACCTAAGTTCTTACAATCCTCGTTAAACACTCTCTACTGCCCACCATGGAAAATCAGTATACTGGCTCAGGAGGATCTGTACTGGTCTGGCACAGCACAGACACTTGTAGAAATTCAGGAAATCACAGTCCTTTCCACCTTACTTCTTTACAGACCCCCTTTAAACTGCATGATGAAACAGAAACAAAGAGGAGCACAGAAGCCCTATCTTCTCCATCGCTTTAGCAGTTCATGTTTTATTTCTCAGTGAGCTCTCTAATCAGAAAAGAACCAGTGACAGACAGGAATGCAGAATATCCTGGCTCCAGCAGATCTCCTTACAAGTTATAACATCGATATCTGCTGTGACTAGCAGCCAGCTAGTAATTTCTGACTCTGGATCCAGAAGGAGAAACTGAAAAATTGAAACACACAAATCCTTTCAAAGTGCCGTGCATATGAACAGAGTGCATCTTTCAGCAGGGGAGGTTCAGATTCAAACTGGGATTAGGCCACAAGCAAACACAAGTCTGATGGACCCAATTTAGCCTTTTCCAAATATTTGCCAACATCATAAAACCATCACTCTGGTATGCACAGCACTTTCTCCTCAGAAAAAAAGATCAGAATAGCATAAACTTTTATAAATCCTGGCTTAGATGCAGTGGCCGAAGTGGTGGACAGAAAGTTGACACCATCTGCTTTGCACTGACATTCAGACAATGCCATACAAACCTCATTTTATAAGCATCACATTAGTTAAATTCAACCAGATTCTGAAGGTGAAAAACCACAAAGGGGTGATAAGATTCTTCGTTCATTGTTTACACTTATGTAATTTAACCCATTAATCATAAATCTGTGATTCCTTTCATTTGCAATTTAATTCCTAAAATTACAGTAGCAGTGTTTCTGCACAACTTATCTGCTACATACTGTAAATTTTATGAGGAGTCCTGACTCCTGACTCAAAGAAAGCTACTAACTCCACTTTGCAGATGAAAAGCTCAGCCACAAAAACATTTACTGAAAGCAACAGGGAAGCCTGTGAGCCGAACTCAGATCTTGTCAGTCTTTTTCCTCCTAAAACAGGTACGCACAAACCTTGGTAGCAAGCCAGCTTTTTAAAAGCTGGGCTTACAACAGGCTTTCTCTCTTAGTAGACAGTCCAAATACACAATGTGAAATACTAAATGCCAAATTTGAAAATCCTAGAACTTTCTGAGAAGGAAGGAAGCTTGCTATGTCACTATTCATAAGTGGTGTGTATGTCAGAATGTAGATATAAATAATTATTCCAATGTATTGCTTAATTTTTGTTATTTTCATTCACACAGTACATCTTACTGTGAACAGCACCAACTGATTTTCCAGCATAACTTGTTCATCAAATCCCACAATACCAGGACTAGTGACACTTGATGGAACTAGTACAGTATAAATTTAAAGCAGACAAAATTAAACACTTCATACAGCAGGCAGTGAACTTTGGAGCTTGCTGCCCCAGGACCCTGAAGGGAAACAACATTAGCAAGTGGAAAAAGGGATTAAATAAACTCATGGCCAGCAGGTCCATAGAGTACTTGGCAGAGGTATCCCCCAGACATCCCTAGTGCAACAGCGGTAGATGCTGCAGGAGCAGGAGGGGAACGGAGCACAGGGAGCAACCAGACCCGTTTGCTCTTATTCAACAGCATCTTCCACTGACAGTGCTGGAGTCGGCACTGGATGAGCAGACGCTGAGTCTGACTGACCTGGGCATTCCCATGCTCTCAATACCCCTCTGCCCTTTCACAACATGCCAATGGTACTTAAATCCCTCCTTCCCAACCTTTTCAGCCACAGAAAGGAGACAAGAACATGCTTTTACTGTGAGAATCAACTTTTACACAGGAATTTTACTACATAAAGATCTATGTAAGTGACAAATTACCTGACAACATTTAGTCCTTCAGCAGCAATTAGTTTCTCAATAAAAGTAGTGGGGAAAAAAAAGAAACTTAAAAGGAGTATGTATAATGGATTCAACGCATCAGGATGCAGATTCAAGAATAAAACATACAGTGATCTTCAGTTCAATGGCCATTACTATGTTTGCAAAGTTACAAAGTTCTGCTGTTCTTATTTTCACATTCTCACAGAAAAATGCATGATTAGCCTTGCGGGATGAACGAAAAGGATGAAGAAGATTCATGTATGTGTTCTACAATATGCTTAAAAAGGTTTCAAGCAAAAATGGAGACAAAAGCCTAGTTCTCCCTTAAAGTCCAGGGTAAAAAGGAGGTAACGTCACTCAACTTAATAGGTCTCAATAGAAACTTCCTGACAATGTTGCAAGAAGCTGCATCTGGCTCATGAAGTCAAGTCATAAGAAGCTGGGAGAATATATTGCGAAGGTAGTACTATATGGCTGCCCTCTGTAGGCAGCAGTTACTGGCTATTGTGAGACACAAGATTACTGCTGGACATAGAGATTTGATTTAATCTGGTATTGTTACATTTGTGTTCGTTCGCTAAGAGTTACTAGTGAATAGACCTAACTGAAAGTAGAATGAATGTCGTATCATCAAGTAATAACACTGCAACATCCAAGTACCTCTTTTCCTACATTCTGATGCCTACGGGAACATTGACTAACCGGGAAGAAAACCAAGAAAATCAAAACCCGAGCCTCAGAAAAGCAGATTTCTCAAGCTCACCTTTAAAGCTTGGCCCTTTTATGAATCTTACCTAATTTACACCAAAACTGTTCAAGTTTCTCCCCACCTTTCATCAAGATAAAGAGGTTTCTTTGCGAAGGAAAACCAGTCTGAAATGGTAGCCTGGTTCAATGCCACAGGCAGATAGCTTTGCGTTGGAGTGCTTTAATATGTTTTTATATTGCATATAAAGCATGCAAACGTAAACCAGTTTGTTGAAAACTACCCTTTTTGTGGAAGCTGGCTGTAATTCTGAACAACTTTTCAATTTTCACACTGCTGCTAGGGTAAAACATTTTAAAGAGTTTAATTTTTACCGTGGCTTCAATGACACGAGATTATCTAACAAAGTAATGGTTAATCAATAGAGGGTTTAGTTGTCAGGTGAAACATATAACACACTAAAAGGGATTGATTGCAAGGCTCCTCCTTATTTACTGTGAGGTATATATTTAAAATGACACAAACTTGTTACCAAGCTGCATTCCTTTAACCTTGCAAAAGCCATTTGAGAACAGTGTTAAGCAGCCTTATAGCAAAACAAGTTCTAATGAAAAAAAACCCCAACCCTACAAGTATATGGCAGCACCAAATCATGTCAGAAGCAGGGGAACCACAAAGCAGTATTCACTCTCAGCCAAAGGCTTAAAATGCCACTGCGACGCTAGACTATGGTTCACTAAAGATAGAGCTGTATCTGATCTCATTCCGTAAGTGTGTTTGGTTACATTTTT